TGTTTAATAAATCAGTTTTAAATGCAAAACATTTTGATAACATGTTTCTTACCTATCCAGCACATTTAAGGTAGTTGTATTTAACTAATAAATTAAAAATGTTAGTGAATTTATAATTGAATTTGATTTTCCATCTAAACAGAGCTTGCAACAAATCATTATTGTTGTCTAGTAAGTAAGAAAAACATCACTCATCACTTTCTAACATAGATATCTACACACATTTATCTAAGCAATTATATCGCAACTTGATGGCAACTTCCACCTTCTGTGTGTGTGTGTGTGTGTGTGTGTGTACTATATATATCTTTGTATCTGATGAAGTGGGCTGTAGCCCACGAAAGCTTATGCTGTAATGAATTTGTTAGTCTCTAAGTCCACAAGTACTCCTGATCTTTTTGTGGATACAGACTAACAGGGCTGCTACTCTGAAACTTTAACAATGTTACAGTAAGGCAGACAGCTAGTGCCTCAGAGAATGAATCCATTAACTCAGGCAGGGCTGCTCTTTGTGCCTCTAGCCTGCCTCTTGCGTAAAGAAGATGCTTCGCTCCCTCCAAGAGTACTCACTCAGGCACACACATACACCCGGTTCCACGCCCCTGTTTCTGGGGCTGATCCTCCAGACATGCTGGGCTCCCAGGGAAGAGGCTGATTTTTAAAATTAATTTATTTATTTGCATTTTTCTGTGTGGGGGGCACAGAAAAATGCAGGCCAAATGAATTGTGTGACCCCACAGGGACGCAGAATCCCCCCCCAGGAGTAACAGTGGCATGGTGTCACTGAAAACATCGCTCGATTTGCAGTGGCAGTCAAAAAAAGCCAACAGACTGTTAGGAGCCATTAGGAAAGGGATGGAGAACAAGACAGAAAATATCCTATTGCCTTTATATAAATTTGTGGTATGCCCAGATCTTGAATACTGTGTGCAGGTCTGGTCGCCCCAGCTCAAAAAAGCAATATATTGGAAAAGGTACAGAGAAGGGCAATGGAAATGATATGGGGCATTGAACAGCTTCCATATGAGGCGAGATTAAAAAGACTGGGACTTTTCAGCTTGGAAAAGAGAGGAGTAAAATGAAGTCTGTAAAATCATGACAGGTGAGCAGGAAGTAAATAAAGTGTTGTTTACTCCTCATAACACAAGAATTAGGGGTCACCCAATGAAATTAATAGACAGCAGGTTCAAAACAAAAGGAAGTGTGTTTTCACACAATGCCCAGTCGACCTGTGGAACTCCTTGCTAGAGGATGTTGTGAAGGCCAAGACGCTAGCAGGATTCAAAAAAGAACTAGATAAGATCATGGAAGATAGGTCCATCGATGGCTGTTAGCCAGGATGAGTAGGGATGCAACACCGTGTTCTTGAGTATCCGTGGTCTCTGTTTTCCAGAAGCTGGGAATGGGTGACAGCGGATGGATCACTTGATGATTCTCTGTTCTGTTCATTCCGTCTGAAACACAAAGTAGCCCGCGCATATGGGCCCATTGCAGTAGACTTACAGCTGCTTTGTTTGTTTGACCAGAGCAGGATACCACCCAACTCGTTACCCTGTGTGCTCAGATACACCAGTTCCCCCTCCCTTGTGGCCTACCTGTTGAGTAGATCTGGCTGAATGGATGGCGTCTGCAAAGACATTCAGGATTAATGGCTATTTTTCATAACAAACTTTGTCAGGAAGAATGGCCTCCATATTGCATTGTTCTTGATGGGGTCTGAAGCCACAGGATCCCTCAGGGAAGTTGGTGGAGCCCTGCACTTTGAGGAAGTAAAGAGAGATGCCCTTCTCAAAATGGCCACCAAATGAGGCCAGGTATGGCTTCGCTCCCATTGAGGAGAAGAGGAGATGACACCATTTTGAAAGAAGGCAACTTTGTCTGGCATTCTCTGTAATAGACCATTGTATCTGAATCTGTTCTGCTGAAGGAGAACCTTTCTGTTATGAAGAATAGCTTGGTGGAGAGGAGGGAACTACCATTAATCCAAAACAATGCAGACCCCCCCCCCCCCCCCCGCCACAAGAGTTCAGTGGGTTTTAACTCTTTGGGAAGTACTGTTACTGAGAGTGGGGGGAGAGGGGGTGATAATTGTAGATCTTGCAATTGCTCCTTTATGATTTTCATTTTCACTGTCCTCAAAACTGAAGACCATGGGCAATATCTTTGTGCATGAGGTTAGAGGGCCAGGGAAGAGAGGGGATGCATCTGGTGCCCATAATTATCACGGATTCTTTATTTTTGCATGGCGCTCAGCATAACGTGTTTCTTAATGGGCAAAGGATCTCTTAAATAAATTGCTTGAATATTGAAAGGTTAGACAAGGTGGGTGAGGTAATATATTTGACTGGACCAACTTCTGTTGGTGAAAGAGACAGGCTTTCCAGCCACACACCATGCTCTTCTTCAGATCTGGGAAAGGTTCTCTGGGCTAAGGTAGAACAGATTGTTCAGCATCCCTAATTAGCACTTATTGTAAGGGACCGTTCAAGGTAGAATGGCCGGTTAAAGCCTCTGCAGTCACAGGGCAAAAAGAGGGGATTACCGACTGTTGTAAAAAGCCATAAATCCCGTGTCTCTGTTCAGTCCGTGATTTTGAGTGTCTAGCAGAGGAATGAATTTAAGCTCCTGGACTTGTCTTTTGAAGGTGCTATGCAGGTTTCCTTTGAGGATGAAGACTGATCGGTTGGATTCAGAGGCTCGCTTTGTGGCAGGTGCTCACCCACAGGCGATAGGGTGTGTTTATTTACTGGTTATTAAAAAGATCATGAAAGCCTTAAGGTGTGTCTGCGGCTGGGCACTTCTTGGAACCTGCTAATAACAGTCTCGCTGCTGGCCAGTTGGCTCCTCTCCTTTGGGGCTCCTTTCTTGTCATGTTTAGATTTTCTGCCCTTTTAGGGTGTTTTTTTCTGAGTGCTCGCGGGGATTGACTGGAATGGGAAGTGCCTGCCACCTGCCGCAGGAGAGTGAAGTGAAGGTGTATGCTGGGGGTTGAGCTAGCTGCCAGGCTCTGACTCTTGGCTTCATGTTGCACTTGTGTCTGTAGGACAAGGGGGGGGGAGCCAACTTGGACTGTTTGCTAAAGAAACAGCCCTGAGCAAAGTCCCTGGGATTCTCCACCCCTGGGTCTAGGGGACCCAATCCTGCTCTGTTCAGGTTCAGGGTCCTGCTGGGGCAGGGAGACACAGTGCGTGAAGTGAGGGATCTCTGGTACCACGTGAGGATAGGGGATCCTGCACTGATTAGGGTGGAGAGTGGGAGCAGGGAACAAAGGCGGGGAGGACTGCACTGATTTGGAGGGTGGAGAAGGAAGGGATTTCAGCTAAACCCTGGAGAGTGCAGCAGGGCTTGGGTTTGGGGGGGATAGCGCAGGTATGTTTCTCCACTGATCAGATGGGGGACTGGGGTTGGCTGGGGGACTGTTGTTGAGGGGGGTTGGATGGGACTGCATGCTGGAGGGGGGTTGGGTTGAGGGCTGTGCTGAGCAATTTATTTGTTTGAACTGTGAATCCGCACCCCCACCAGAATCTCAATTTGCTGCAGGTGAGGGCAGGAAACAGCCTGGAGGTGTCTGTATTCGGTCCAGGGTCGTTCTCCTGGAAATGGCACGGGCCAAGTAGCCTGTCCTGCTGCTCTAATTCAAGAGCATGGTTCAGCTCCCAGAAATGTGGGGAAGTTAGCAACTCTCTAACATACCCTAGTTGAAAACAGGAGGTTAAATGGTAGGAGCTGAAGCTGCCTTCTCCCATAAGAACTCAGCAGCTGGGGGACAAATTATAGACCTTGAAGCAGCTATTACAATATGACCTGTTCAGCTAATAAGTAGGCTTGGAAGGATTCGATTTTGACAGTAAAATGTCAGTATTCATTTCATGGCACATAGACACGCTGACGGAGAATATCTCCATTGGTGATGTTTGAAATGTGCAGCCTGGCAAAGTAAGAAAACTTTTAAAATATCAACATCTGTTGTCCTTAAATATTGTCTGACGCCGCCTCCCCCACCCCCTTCTTCACAGCTGTGAAAATTTAAATTGATAAATATAAAAAAAATTACAAGTAAACCAGTGTTATCCATTGAAATTATAAAAATTTAATTCTGCTAAGCCTAACAAGCAAAATCTTCCTGTTGACCTTTTACTGGAACAGTGCCAAGCCGATACTTTCAACACAGGAAAACGATGACTACAATAGTAGATTTGTAGAAGGGGATGAGAGTGCTGCTTATCTTCACCAAGAAAAGAGAATGGGTGGGTTGCTTTTTGTTGTTTTTCCAGATCTAGCCCCAATCTCCCAACTATGAATACAAACTTGTATGAAGGAGAATCTGTTTAACTGCTGGACCAAAAATGCCTTATGATGATGAGGGTCAACTGAGTGCACTGAGGTCTCAAAAACGGTGTATATTTTAGTGAGTTTCATGTACAAGATTCTCAGGCAGACACTCACTAACTTCTTGCTCTTTGGTTGCTAGATCTGATAGGAGGCACTGCATGACTGCCCATGCTTGGGGGAATAGCAGTAACCAAGGGTAAATGACTTTCTGTGAATGGAGACTTCCAGGTCTGTTACCTGCTACTGATGTGATTTAGAGGTTCTGGGCCAAAAACAGGAGCCAGTTGAGTCTAGATGCTGGATACAGGGTTTGAAATGTTCTTGCCGAGCAATGTCAGATTAAAAACTCTTGTTATCCTGGTAAGAACTTCACTTGTTAGGAGCAGCAGGGTGAGGGGCTGAATGTTGGTGGATTCCAGGGCGTGGGGAGAGACTGCATCAATAAACTGTCATTTTCCTTTAGGCAAAGTCTTGAATTTGGGACCAAAAGCTGGCCTGATCCATGTGCCAAATGTGTGAATGTTTGTGGTGCCATTGAGCTGTTCTGGCAGGGTCTGGGTCCTGCTGGTGGATTAGGATCAGTTCTGCGGGCTCTCAACTTGTGCAGTAGAATTCAGAAGCCAAAAACTAACTGGGTGTTGTGATGCTTATGTTCTTGGACCAAACAGGGAATGACAAGAACTGACCTCACTGTGCCCTGAACTATTCTGAGTGTTACACCTTCGCTTCTGCGCAGAACTGAAAGCTGCAGGGGCAGAGGAATCGGAGTGACTCTCGCTACAGCCGGGGAGGCGCGGATCAGAGGTGATCAGAGCAACCTGTGTGTGTCAGTGGAGAGATGCGGGAAACAGCAGATTCTACTGAGCAGAGTCCGCAAGGAGAGGTGCACCCCACTTGTAATGGAGACCCTGAGACAGGAGGGGAGATGGAAACTCGAAATAATCCTCAACAAGAACAATTATTAATGGAGTTGCCAAGTAGGAATGGAGATGTAAGGAGAGAACAAGACCCAGGTAATCACAGCTTCATGATCAGGGAACGGGCTGGGGGAGACACATGCAAATTCTCCTTCCACTGAGGGTTCGTCTCCTTGCATTTGTCCAGGTAGCAAGGCCCTGATTGCCCCAGTGGGCTCCTGGAGGCAGTTACCCAGCCTGCACCTGTAACCACCCTTTTCTATGTGCGGCGGGGGGTTGTGGATGAACAGTTCTGGGTGGGCACGTGTCGCTCCTGTTTAGAGAGTGAAAGATACCAAAATGCTTTGAACCAACCCCAGGACGCTGTGGGGTGCCCAATATCCACGTGTACTAACTACACATGGACACACCGGGCCCAGCTACATGTACAGTGCTGCGCGGGCCGGCTTCTCAAACCTAAAACACAGTGAGCGCCACTGGAGGGCTCACCAGCTATTTAAAGGGGCGCTAGCCCTATTCCTACGCATGACAGGGTCTGCATCTAAAACACTTGGCCCCTGTCCTGTGTTCATTCCATCCCTTCTTCCCTCTGCTTACCATAAGAGCCAGACTTTTGAACGGGAGAGCATAGATCTCCTCGCAGATTCTTGTATTTCTGTTCCAGCACCTAGAGACCAGCCAGCCTAGGGCCTGTTGTGCTGGGTTGGGTTCTGGACGGACGTACACACAATGGCAGTCCCAGAGACCTTACAGTCTAGCCACATCTGTGGCACATCCAGGGCCCCCCACTTGCGCATGGCGAGGAGCCAGGGTATGGGGACAGTGTGAAATTTCTCCCTTCCGTTGAGAAGGCCTGTGGCCACAGCCCATGTTCGAGCATGGTTTCCCCTGGGCCTTCTGAAAACGTGGCTCTGGGCATTTGGGGAAGGCTGGGTGGGGTCATAGAGCTGTTCTTCTTTCACACAGGGGCGGCTGGGGTTTGTTCCCCATTCCTTCATTTTTCAGAGGGTCTGAAGTCTCGATGCTAAGGCGCTTTCTCCGCTCTCTGGAGGAATCAGAATGAAATGTTCTATGAACAGATAGTAGATTTTCCCCCCACACTCACCGAGGGAGGGGCAGGGGGTCATGTGTTCAATTGCTCTGGGCTCAGAGCTGCCTGGCATGAGGCAGAGGAGCTGAGTGCAGCTGGGCCTGGGGGCTCAGTGCCTGAGAGTCTAAGCCCCCAGGCAGGGGCCTGAACACAGCTTGGGGCCCAGACTGCAGGGAAAGGGAGGGTGAGACCCGTTCCCATCCCTGACAGCAGGGAGCCGTTCACCCTTCCGATGCTCCAGGAGAGTCTGGCCTGGAAGAGGGGGATTAACTAGCCCCATTTATCGTCTAACAGGAGCCGAGATCCCTGTAACTCGGTGGGATCTGGGGAGGCTGGTGTTAGGATTCTGCATGGTTTTAACTAATGTCCATGCGCCCACACATACCAGTGATACAAATAAATTCCTGGTCTATGGCAGCTCCGATGCTGGTGGTTACTAACGCTGGCTCCCCGACCCTCTGCTGTGGAGCAGCTGTGGGAACCTGCCTGGCTTCTCTTTCAGGTTCTCAATCTCCCTTCAGGGACCCATTCGTGCGTAAAGTCCTGATCTGTGTCTCCAGTATGGCAGTGGTTCTGTTCTTTGCCGTCATTGTTTTGGCTGCAACTCTGCCAGGTGAGTTCCCAGCCTGCCTGCCCTCCTCTGCGCTTCCCATTCAGCCTGGAGCTGTCTCAGGTGCATGTTCTCCCCTCCCAGCCTGTCTGGCTTCAGCGTTGGGTTCAGGAAGGGTTCCCATGAGACATCTCTGATTCTTTGTCCCAGAGCCCATCGCTCCCTCTGTACAGCTCAGACACACATGGCCCATCTTACACCTGGAGCAATGGACTGAACTTAACTCCCACCACAAGATCTCTAGCTCACCTGTCCAGTGTTGCTCTGAGCATGCCTGCATCCCTGCTTGTTGGCTACTCCCAAGACAGGGCTTGCAGGTACTACAGTGTCTTTGAGACAGGCTTGATTAGTCAGTGGGGTTGTGGGGGAGAAGGGGGCGCTCTTACAGCACAGCTGGGAATTAAACCTGTCCGGTCAAGTTGGAACGAAGATGGGAGGTTTCCCTCTCAGCTATTAACCGCTCTAGTTGGCACACGCTGTTGACACTATTCATGCTGCTAAATGTGAACCTTATTATAGATTCACCACACACAAACCTTCATTTCTGCCGGGGTTAAGGCTGCTGCTACGTTCCCCTGACTCCTCCTGCTGGGGCCTGGCAAGAACAGCAGTTCAAATAACCCCCTCAACATTAAAACCCAGGCTGCCCTTAGCACTCTGGGCATTCAGGCCACCTTCGCTCTGCCCCCATAGACACTCCTAGAAAATCTAGCTGCCCTCTCCATTCGTGCCAAGCCCAGCCCAGGAAACACGCTGCCACCCTCTCTCTAGCCTGATGGGATGTGGTTCCCGATGGAGCCCTTCAGCTCATGCATGTTTATTATTCAGTATCGTTACCGCCTAGATTGGACACGGTGCTGTGCAAGGCCGATCAGAGCCCTGCTCCTCATGAAGGACCTGTTCTGTTCTGGCACGGAGGGCTTGGCATAGCAGCGACCCAGCCCCTCACAAATTGAAGCCCTCGGGATCCCTGAGGCAGGTGACTCCCCGTGTCACTAGAGCAGGGGTCTCAAACTCCAATCACCAGGAGGGCCACATGAGGACTCGTACGTTGGCCTAAGGGCCGCATCGCCCCCTGCCCCTGCCTGTGGGGTGCAGCAGGGGGCTCAGGGCAAAGGGGTTGGGGTGCAGGAGGGAGTGCAGGGTGCAGCAGGGGCTCAGGGCAGGGAGTTGGGGCGCAGGAGGGAGTGCGGGGTGTGGCAGGGGTTGGGGTGCAGGCAGAGGGCTCAGGGCAGGAGGGGTTCGGGTTCTGGCCCGGCGCCGCTTACCTTGAGCGCCTCCGGGGTGGCAGGGGCATGCTTTCCGGAGCGGCGCGGGTCCCTCAGCACCACAGGGTTGGCAAATCCGTGGGCTGGATCTGGTCCGGGGCTGTAGTTTGCCCACCCCTGCCCTGGAAGCAGGCTGGGGACGCAACGCACTGGGGAGGGGACGGGGTGGGCTGCGGGAAGCTTGGCGGGCCGCAGGGAAGAACCCCGCGGGCCGCGTGTTTGAGACCCCTGTACTAGAGCCAGTTGCAGGTAGTCTAAATATCCAACCTCCCCCTGCCCAGGACGTCCCCCTGGAAAGCAGCACTGTCCCTGAGACCCCTGCTCCTCTGCTTGGCCTCAGAGACAAACATAGGCTTTGCATGTTATGCAGAGTGGGTTTCAGTTCCCTATTCAGCGTGTGACCGGAGCAGGCCAGTGTCACTGCAAGGGGGCAGAGTTAAGGTGATTGTGGGGGAGGTAACCTGAACTCTGCCGTGCTTGGTTCTTAATGTCTCTAATAACCCTGCCATCTTGTTAGGCCCTTGTTGGGCAGGCAGGGAATTAAATAACATGATCGATGTCCTTGGGCTGAGTGCCGTGGCCCTATCCCAGCTCCCACTGAAGTCAATGCAGAGCATCTAGGCATTTCAATAGGGACAGTATAACAGTGCTCTCTTGTGGCCAGACATGTCCCAGCAGATGTGCGGCTTCCAGCTCCCTCTTGTGTGTCTTGTAAGGAGCTCATTCCCAGGCCAGAGCATCTTAAACTAAGATTCTTCCACGTTTGTGCTGCCTCGTTGGGTCTGTTATAGCAAATCAAAGCGCTCTTTCGCCCATCAAGCCTAAGCCTTGTTCCCCTGGATTCAGGGTTCCCCCTGGCCTTCCTGGGCCTGTGCGATACTTTGGGTAGATTCCCCCTCCTCAGGCCAGGAATCGTGCTGCTGCCCTCCCTTGGCTTCTCCGAGCTGGCCCCTTCCAACTCTCCTTGCCCGCAGGCAATCAGCCCTCCTGTCCCTCGGAGGCTCCCTGCTGCCTCTCCGGGAGCTTCTCGCTGACTTTTAACCCCATGGCCTGTCATGGGGCCCCTTTACCTTCCCCACCCGGGGAGGAGGGTGGAATGAGGGACAGGTAGGGCTGGGCCCGTTATTGTTTGAGGCCAGTCACACAGTGACAGGCAGGAACGTCCCCAATGTAACTTCTGTTACTCAACCCATTCAAAGTACTGCCCAGACCCCTTCCAAGCCCTCCCTGGTGCTGTTCATGGGGATTAAGGAGGCAGAATCCCCATTCTGTGCGACAGCCAGGTGTGGGTCAGGCCTGTGGTTAAAACGTTGGCACGGAAGTTGGGACTTCTGGGTGCTGTTGCTATTGGGTGACGGGACAGAATGCTCCCCCGCTCCGTGCCTCAGTTTCCCCCTTAGTGAAAAGGGTATAATGTCACTTCCCTGCCTCACCGGGCGGGGGGGAAACCTGAGGCTAAAATCGATCTGTGCTTGTGGGAAACTCAGGTGCGGCTGTGGTGGGTGGGTGGGTGTGCGCATGCTGAAAAGCCTATAAATAGGAAGGGTGGGCCAGGCGATCGTGCCTCTGTCTAGGTATCTATGCTACACCCACCACGGGGGTGCCTGAGCTTGGCCTATACAAGTGAATGGCAGCACCTGTGTGTGTCCGGTCCCAGCCATCTGGGGCAAATCACTGCAGAGCCAGACCCAGCATAACTGCTGGATTTGTGTGCCAGCCATCCCTGGAGATTGTGCCCCGGCCCCATCACTGCCCTGGCCCGATACGTTTTTCCGGTGGGTCTAACAACTCGCAGCACAGAAGCAGCTTCCCATGGCTGACGTGCTCAAGTTCCCACCTCTCAGAACCCAGTTAGTGCCACGGGCTGAGCGCGCCCCTGAAATTCGTCTTACAAAAGCGCTGTAACTGACACTTGTGTGAGCCCCACCCTGAACTCAGGAGGGGTGTGGTGTGAGCGAAGGACTGGCTGCCAGGGCTCCTGGGTCCGAATCGCAGCTCGGCCACTGACTCCCTGTGACCTGGAGCCGGCCCCTCCCCTTCTGTATCGCCAGCCCTCCACCCCCCGGGATAAAGTGAGAGGGTGATACTGACCCAAGTGAATTTCCCTTTGCTTAGTGAAACTTGCCATTGAACTCTCCGAGCGCTGTCCAGCCACCATCCCTCTCAGCCCCAGGGGCAGCAGGGCAACTGTCCCCTTCTACAGAGGGGCCACATGGGGATGGTACTGCAGGGTGGAGGGATCAGAACCCAGAAGTCCTGCCTCGCAGTCCGTACGGAGGGTCAGCACGTGTCCCCGCTAATCAGGAAGAGGGGCGGGATCTGTCTCGGGCCCAGAGTCACTTGCTCTGATATGGGGTCCCTGCTCTCTACTCAGACGGGGTGGGGTGTCTGTGCCTGAGGGGCTGCTCCCCTGGGGTGCAGGGCGGGGAAGGGGACAGGGACAGACTCACCCTGTTCTCTCTCCTTTCCAGGGGTACCATCAAGGGCACCTGTGGCCTGCCCCAATGGCTCGGTCACGTTCCAAGGGAAATGCTACTATTTCTCAGAGACCGAAGGGAACTGGACCTACAGCCGGAGCCGCTGCTCTGCACTGGGTGCCTCCCTGGCTGGGATCGACACACAGCAGGACATGGTGAGTCCCTTGGGCAGCAAGAGGCCAGGCGTGGGCTGGTGCTGGAATGGTGCCAGGGCTCGGACCCTGCTGGGGTGGGATTGGGAGCCGGCGGGATGAGAGGTCAGGCTCCCCATCCACTGAGATCTCTTCTCCATCCATCTCTTTGGCCTGAGGTGTCGCAGCTCCCTGCCCTCCTGATTCCCTGAGCCCCAGCCCTGCTGCTTTCCCCTGGGCCTCAGTTTGTCCCTGGAGCGCCCGGCTTCCTGTGGCTCTTAGGCTACATCCAGGTGTTTCTGACGTGACTAGGGATGTGGGAGCCCAAGTGAGACACCCCCCAAGTAGGGCTGATTATCGCAAAGGACTGAGCCCCTGCCCTCTGACAGCTGGGGCTCTGGGAAGGGTCAGGGGTCCCCAGATCACATCACTTTAGAATAATCTCTTCCAAGCCATGTGTTGGCTGCAGCCGGGGGCAGATGCTGCACAGGACATGTTTGCTGGATGGGGCGCGGGGCTGCCCCGTCTGTCGTCCCGTAGACTCAAACCCAGCTCGCTGGGAGCTCCGTCAGGCGTGTCATGTCGGTTTTCTTCTGCTCCGGTTGAAGGACTTCATGCTCCACTACAGAGGCCTCAGGGACCACTGGCTTGGCCTCCGGAAGGAGACGGACCAGCTCTGGACATGGATGAACGGCACCAAATTCAACAGCTGGTGAGTTCTCCCCGAGTGTTGGGTCACGGACATCTGGCGTGCCAGACTCAGACCGAGCTGGGACTCGTCGCTGACCAGGGAGACCTGAGTCTTGTATGACCTCAACGTGCTCCCCATGTCTGCGACCTGCCCCACTCCGCACTACTCTCTGTGGGAAGCAATGGGGGATCCGAGCTCTCAGATCCCAGTCCTGTGCGGTGCCGATTCCTCTCTGCCTTCAGAGATCTCAACCCCCTGCCCCTGGGGGCTTCATGGGGCTGGGAGGGGTTGGTTCCCTCTGCACCAGTCTTCTGCCATGGGTCTTAGCTGCTTTTGCAGGGGGGGAGACCCCTCCTCCCCAGCCTGAGGGTGGGCGAATTTCCAGCTGCTCTGCATCTGTGCTGAGATCTAACCTAGCTGCTCTCACTGTCTGTCTCCTCCTTCCCTGCCCCCGTCCCAAACAACACCATAGTCAGCAGCTCCCCATGTGCTGGGGTGACCTCTCTGCCCTAGGCTCTGCTTTTCCTGTCACCTGCTGCTTTCTTCTCTCTCTGGTCCCCCCCATGACAGTGGCGGCCAGCTCTGAACTACACTCCTTGGTGCTGGGGGAGCTGGTGCTGACTTGACTCTGCCAGGGGTGGGAGGAAAGCTGGCGGCTGTGTCTGGCTGATCCCTACTGGAGGAACTGCTGCTGGCTCTGTCCGACCACTTCCATCTGCATGTCCATCTGTTGCAACAGGGAGACTCTGGAGCTGCACCGAACACTCACGTAGGTGTTGGTGGTGGGGTGGCTAAACCTGAGTGACGGGTGTCCTGATTCCACCCGCCGGGGAGCACGAAGGGGTTAAACGTGTAGCTCCCCAGCAACCACCAGGTCCGGGGCGGGAGGGAGAGGGCTGCTCTGATTTTGCCCCCAACCGAAGTACAGGTGAATATTCACCCTGCAGTTGAAGGAGCCTCCCCTTAAGAGCCAGCGTGGGCCAGCGGCTAGAGCAAGGGATGGGGAATCGGGAGACCTGGGTTCTGATCCCAGCTTTGTCACGAGCTGCTGTGAAGGGACCCGCCCCAGGCAGCACCTGTGCGCCTCCACTTCCCCATCTATGCTACGGGGGTAATCCCGGTTACCTCCCTTGGCACGCGATGCAACTGTCTGTCTGTGTGTGTTTGTGCTGTGACCCTGCTGTGTGACTGGGAACCCTCTGCCCAGCAGCCCCTGCTCCCCGTTGCTGACGGTCCCTTTGCTCCTTCCCTGCAGGTTTAAAATCGGAGGGGGAGGGGAGTGCGCGTATCTGAAGGAAGCAAAAGCCATCAGCTCCTCGCGGTGCTCTATGGAGAGACACTGGATCTGCAGCAAACCCCACATGTGTGCAAAGGTTTAGCACAGCACTGGGCAGGGGGCTGAAGGCTCAACCCTGAAGAGACGGGCCATCATTGATGCTGACGGGCTCGGATGTTTCTCTGGCTAATGAGAGCATTTGCAGTCATGCTAGTGAGGACTAAACCAAAAAGCATCTGAGATGGGCCAGACACTTCTGCTTCAGAGCATAAGATCCCTATCCTTGGGAGTAAACTTTCCGTAATGGATGAGTGATCTCTTAACAGTCCATTAGCTGACCTGCCCTTTCCTCTGAATCAGCTGGTACTGGCCACTCAGACAGGAGACTGGACTGGATGAACTGGCGATTCCTGAACCAGCCGGTTCTCACCTGAGGCCCCTTCCTCTGGTATGTCTGGGCACCAAGACAGGCAAATAAGGACCAAATTCTGAGCCACCTTTCAGGGAGCAGTTTTGATCTCATCTTCCCATTGAGCCGCCTCAATGCCACGGAATCGCTTCCACAACCAGCCCTTCCAGCTGTAATGAGCCTCCTGCTTACCTGAGCTTCCAGTCGTTGGCCTGGTCCACGCTACAGAGAGAGGGCGACGTAAGGCAGCTTATGTCGACCTAATTATGTCAGTGTCCACACTACAGCCTTGCTCCCACCAGTGTAAGTGCCCTACTGCACTGACGTCATAACTCCACTGGCACGGCAGGCGTAAGGCTTCTGTCTGTGTAGTTAGAGCGGCACAGTGTCCCTGTAGACACCAAGTTACGTCGTTCTTGTCAATTTCACAGCTGCCTGCTGGAGCCAAGAAATTGACAAGATAGGCTGGTAGGCCCCTGCTGTGAACCTCATACCTGGCCCTTAGCTAGGGCTGTCACAACCAGGTGGGTGGGGGGCTCCCCACTCCTAAGCAGGCTGTTGCCTGGTCTACCCTCTCCTAGCCGGGCTGCTTAGAACCCGGCAGGAACCCCTGCGGGGAGCCAGGCTCTCAGCAAATCCGCAAATCCAATGCTCTGGCTCGCGCTGTGTGCTCTGATTGACAGGGGATGTACCCTGTTCCTCCTCCGGTGGGTAATAGGTCGACTTAAGTTTGTAGCTTCGACATGACCTTAGTCTCTCTGATCTGGGGACCGAGGAATGTTTTGGAGGGCAGCAATCTCTGATCAAGAATGACCCAAGACGATACCATGCCTCATAGTAGCTTCTCCACTGTTGTGAGGGGCAGGGGCGGGGATCAGTTGGAATTCAGCTTATCCTAAGTTACTGGGCTCAATGCAGGAATCGCTGGGTGAGCTTCTCTGCTTTGTTAGGCAGAAGGTCAGGCTAGATGGTCATAATGGTCTTTTGTGACCTTGAAACCTGAGCTGTTTGGTTTTGGGAAGAATGGGAAGCTGAGAGGTGGCTCTGGATAACCATGCAACTGTTCTGATTTCCTACCTCTGCGCTTTACTAGCTGCTGCAGAAAGGAGGTCTTGTCTCGTGCAGCTGATAATCTGAGATCAACCCGAAGTGCACTGCATCTTAACGCTGAGCCATGGACTCCTCTTATGTTTATTTTTAAGTCTTTGTAAACTGTGATTTACTTAATTATGCTATTTATCACTAAGCTATATATTTTTTGACAGCCCTTTTTTGCACAGTATTTATAATAGGCTGTCATGCTGTAAATGAAGCATTATCGTTGGACGTGGTTTTGTATTGCAAGGTAACTTAATTGCAGTGTTAAGATTAATGATGCCTGACTAGTATTGTGCTGATGGCTGTACAAACCTCACTGAGACTAATGGGTGTGAATGGACCTTTCGATTAACATAACTGTCAGAATAAGGTCATTGCAAGCCCTTTCCCCAGACACACAGTGTATGTGACCCTGTCTGAGACTTCTGTACTAAATGGGTGGCAGGGTTTTGCCAGTTTCTGGAGGGGTGGGTGCAGAACACGGGGAACTACAGAGCTACACAGACAGCTGGAAGGAACAGCTGAAAGCAAGGCGTCTGAGCCTGGAGTGAGGTTTTGGGGTCAGAGGTGCAGGCTGAAAAATGTGTTCCTGGTGCTGTGAGCAAAATAAGCTGTTTCCTGCTACCTGTTTTCTCCGGTGTCCAGGGAAACGGGTCCTTTGTACTGGTTTTGTAAATAAACAAACCTTCATTAAATAAATAATGGCTTCTCACCAATGTCTCCTAACTGAGACAACCTACTAGACTCTAAACTTTTGGTGAGCTGCTCAGATCACAATGGAGAACAGTATTTATTCAAAACCACGCACACATCTGCACGCATGCCAGCCTGTAGTCTTGTTGAGGTCAGTGAAGATAGAGTTTGGGATTAGGTTACCAGCTTCTTAATTTTAGGAGTAGAGTGGGTTAAGCCGACCAGTCGAAAAACCACTATGCTGGTTTCCTAGTGTTGCTAGGATGTTGGGGGGGCATAAGAACAGCCATACTGCATCAGACCAAAGATCCGTCTAGCCCAGTGTCCTGTCTTCCGACAGTGGCCAATGCCAGGTGCCCCAGAAGGAATGAACAGAACAGGGAATCATCAAGTGATCCATCCCATTGCCTATTCCCAGCTTCTGGCAAACAGAGGCTAGGGACACCATACCTGCCCATCCTGGCTAATAGCCATTGAGGGACCTATCCTCCATGAACTTATCTAGTTCTTTTTTTAATTAGCTGCCACACCGCCTGGCTTGACGTGGTTTCCATCATATGCAGGGCTTACGGTTTGGTTCAGTGGCTCTTGTCCCCTCCCTGTACAGGTTGTTCCAGCTGCTCTGGCCTGATTGGGGGGCAGTTGCTTCCTTTTTCACACACTCAGCTCAGTAACCTGGAGTTCGCCCTCTTTCCTTCTCATCTAAACCCAGCAGTGGCCCCCTGCTCTTCCACCTATGACTGGGCCAAGTGGAGGTGAGTTAGGTGCCCTAGTCTTCCTGCCTTTCAACAGGGATTTGTGCTTCTCAAAATCCCACCCCAACCCCAGCTTTAGTAGTCACCAAAGCAAGGATCTATGTTCCATGGAATCAACCAGTACTGAGGTTCTCTAGCCGCCCCTGAGTGGCCTACGGACCTGAGCCAAACTCAGCCGGGCGGCGCTCTCCCCACGGCTGATGGAAATATGGTAAATATGTTATGGAAGCTTACAAGTACCAAACCAAAATGTGTTTGGATTTTCTCCTTTGTTCTCCACCCTGCCCTTTTTCAGTGGCAAAAGCAAGGGAAGGGCAAGAAAGTTGGGGTGGGAGGGAGACCGCAAACCATTCAGTCCAAAACTGGAAAACTTTCGTTTTTTGTCAAAAAAAAAAAAAAATTTTTTTTCATTTACAAAAATATTCCTGCGGAGTTTTGGCCAAGGCTGTGGGCTCTGCTCCAATGGGAGGATTTCTCTGGTGAAGGCACCATGACTTGGAGTCATCACAGCCACATGGTCTAATATCTGGTGCTTTCAGTGTTAAGTCCCGCAGATTCAAAGACAGTAAGAAGGAGAGGTCTAGCCAATCAGAGCCCTGCTTTGCACACCTCTGCAAAGGCAGGAGTATGACACTGACCCACAGGAAGTGGTCTCTGGCCAGCAAGCCCCACGGTGCCTGAGCGCTGGTGTTTCACATGGCTTCTGCGAGCCTCTCAGATCAGCCCTTTCTCACCCACGGCACTTTCCATTCGCTTAGGGGTCAGTGTTTGAGGTGGGAGCCAGGCTGCCTGGGCCACCACGTTTCAGCCTGGTTCAAGGCAGGACGTGAGGAAATGGGGCCCCCTTTGGTGCTGCAGAGATTACAGCGACTGATTAGCTCCAGGCTCTCAGCTTCCTGTCCTGGTGGGGTGGGGTAAAAGGCTCAATCTTTGATTCCTCTCCATCAGCGCGACCATGCTGAGGGGGCCCAGTGTTGTCTTTTCCAGCTTCATTTGGCACCTGTGACCTAATATTCACCATGGGCTCATCCCCAGCTCCTTGATGGGCACTCGGAGGGACGGCTGTGCCCTTGTCTGGCAGTTGCTGGCACTCGCTCCTCTCGCTGGGTTTAGCCCACCAGGCAAGGCATGGGGCTGCAGTGAACACAAGCAGTTACTTGGAGCCACGAGTGAGAATTGAGGGAGTTGCTGAGACCAATAGCAAGCAAACCCCCCCTTAGGGGTGCAGCTGACTAGCCTGCAGGGGGGCGACCTTTGGGACTCTCCCCAGAGCTGGAGATGAAGAGAACTTCTCCTCCAGTGGCTGTCGCACCCAGTTCACGTTGGGGTGAATTGGGGCTTGGCTCCCTGACGGCAGGAGAGCAGAGCTGTAGTGTAGATCCCCCTCCTGCTCATTTGGGGCTGCACAAGCTTTCGCTAGGCCGTCAGCCTTGAATGGGGAGGTCACGAGCCAGGCTCTCCAGAGAGCGCTCAAGTCCTCCCACCTACCAAGCATCCAGGGGACTGGCTTCTGGGTTTAGGGTCTGGTGCTTCGTCCTCACACCAGCCCTGTCCCACTGTGGCGAGGGGCTGGCTATGGGAACGAGCTGGGAATACCCGGTGCCTTTAGGCAAGCGGAAGAGCTTTGAGGCTGCTTTTTGCATAGGACACAAGGCCCATGTTTTGTCCCTCTTGCTGGTGCCCTCGCTAGCTTGCTGCGTGAGCTGTTACGTTTCCTGTGTGGTTTCGAAGCATGCTGGCCAGGGGAGGCAGCCATTTCCTCTGCACGCTGGAGCCTCACAAACTGAACAGTCCGAGTCTCACCCCAGTCCCTTGGGGTCTCTCTCTGATTTTCCCTTTCCTTCCCATTTTCTGGGAGACTAAAGCAGCGACTCTGGAAGATGCAGGATGAAGAGGGTTACACGGTATTGAATCTCCGGCCCAAGACGGGAACCGCCAGCCGCCTGTCGGCGGACGGGATCCAAGGTATTGCTCCAAAGTCTCCGCAAGGCTGTCTCAGTAATTCCGGCTTGTGCTTTCAAAGGGGTCTGAGAGAGGATGGATGGGAAGCAGGCAGGGGGCAGCTTCATGTTGCGTTTCAGGCTGTGGCCTGGGATGTGGGAGACCTGGGTTTGAATCTTAGCTCTGCCAAGAACTTCTTGTGTGACCCTGGCGACAAATCCCTTCATTGCTCCGGGCCTCAGTTTCCCCATCTGTGGCCTGGGAATAAAAGCACTGCCCTGCCTCATGGGGGTGGGAGGGTCGGGAGGACAAATACACTAAAGACGGTGAGATGCTTCGATAGTGTGGGAGGTAGTTAAAAAGTGTGTTTTAGCTACTGGGATGTTCATATGGGGTGATGGAGAACAGCAAAGGGGTGTGCAGGGTGTGTGGGATGAGCGTATCAGAGCAGTGCACCCAGAGCCACAGTGCTGGAGCAGGTCCGTGCCCAACTCCGGACCGCCATGTGCACGCATGGCGGTTATTGGGCAGCACCTTACTTCTGCACCGTTCCCGCTCTGCTGGTCTCTGCAAGTCACAGCCCCTGCACCCCCATCAGAGTCAGGACCCAGAGAGCTTGGCTGTATTTCCTGCGTAGTTTGTATGCAATTAGAACTCTAGGTGAGCCGATGAGCTGTGTGGGTAGGCTGACCAGACAGCAAATGTGAAAAATCGGGATGGGGTGGGAGGTAATAGGAGCCTATATAAGAAAAAGACCCAAAAATCAGGACTGTCCCTATAAAATCAGGACATCTGGTCACCCTATGTGTGGGGCAGGGATCGCCAACGCCTTTGTGCAGCACCCAGCCCAACGGGGCCCATCTGGTTCACCTGCAGGTCCTGCCAAAATAACAGTATTTAATAATGTGAATAACCCAGCAGCTGGGGTGGGGGTGTTATTGCTGTCCATGGTTTGGGCCCTGAACACGCTGCTGCAATGCAAGCAGGGCTGGGGCAGGCACTGGCTGTATCGATGGTGTATCCGAATGTCCCCAGGCAGAGTCAGCCTTTATAGAAGGGCAACTCTGGATAAAGGCCTGGGGCTATTTCTGGTTTCACCCTGTCCAGGCCCTGGATCATACGGTGACTAAGTAGAGTGAGGTTCTTGCTGGTGGGTCGTAGCAAAAGGACGTTGGCGGTGTTTTGAATGCAATTTGGGCCAAGTCTGACATTCTACTGTCATGACCTAGCAGCAGGGCTAAGTGACGAAGGGCAGGATATGCTCATGGTTAATGCACTGGGCTGGGACCCAGGAGATCTGGGTCCATTTCCCAGCTCTGCACCAGACTCTGTGTGACCGTGACCAAGTCAGTGCATCTCTTCGGGCCTTGGTTCCTTCTGTCAGTAACAGGGAGATTATCATCTGCCCTTTTTCTGTGAACAGTGAGGTCTCAGCTGGAATCTCCAGCCGTTACTGTAATATGGATAACCCCTGCAACGCCACATCCTGTGTCTCTGTCCTGCCAATGACTCTGTAGTGACCTGCCTTGGATGCTTAGTGTCCTGTTAGATATCCTCTCGTAAACGTTTCTCACCTCCATTTCCTGTGTTGCTTTGTTCTCTCTCTACCAGCTTTGGCGAGACTTTCAAAGTCAACCAGAGCAGTCAGGCTCCTAATGCCCATGGAAACCCCTGGAGAGTTGGATGCCTGCCTACCTCCCATTTGTGTCTCCAACTCTCCCTTCCCTCGCCCCCCCACAGCCTGATGATCAAAAGCTGTAACTAACTCCCCTTCCAGCTGTGCGTCGGAGAAAGCCAGACTGAAACACCCCATTCCCTGCAGCGTGAGTTCTGTGAACTGGGCTGGCGGTTAGAGTTTGCATGGCGGGCAAAGAGGTAGCTGCTTTGGGGAACCAACTTGGGACACCACAAGGGTCCTAGAGGGCAGGTGCTCAGTGATTTCCGCAAATCTAGAGGACTCCTTTAAGTCTCAGATTGGGCAGGGAGGGGAGGGGAAATCGCCAGTTACTTTGAGAAATCTTAGCCAAAATGCCAAGCAAAACTGTCCTGCAGTAGGAGAGCTCCCAAGGAGACAGAAAGAGAAGTAAAAAGCAAGATGTTGTAACTGCACCTTATCATGTTGATCAGCAGAATCTAACTGGTTCCTTCTGCTCCCGTTTGTATCCACGTGCTGTGTCTCATCTGAGACTGTAATCGCTTCAGGGCAGAAGCCGTCTGTTTCTAGAACATAAGAGCGGCCACACTGGGTAAGACCAAAAGTTCATCTAGCCCAGTATCCTGTCTTCTGACAGTGGCCAGTGCCAGGTGCCCCAGAGGGAATGAACAGAACAGGTAATCCAAGTGATCCATCCCGTTGCCCATTCCCAGCATCCCTGCCCATCCTGGCTAATAGCCATTGATGGACCTATCCTCCATGAACTTATCTAGTTCTTTTTTGAACCCTGTTACAGTATTGGCCTTCACAACATCCTCTGGCAAGGAGTTCCACAGGTTGACTGTGCGTTGTGTGAAAAAAATATGTACAGTGCCTAGCCTGGGGGCACTGGGACATCTAGAGGCTATGGCCATGCGGACTAAGCTGCAGTGCAAATTAGAAGTGTGGGACCTTCTGGCCCATCTGCTCTTCGGTTCTGCTACGAAGAGAAATGAAGGCCCAACTCACTGTGGAAGCAACCATGTCTCACTCAGCAGATCTGTGTCACCGTGTGTGTCAGTCACATCTGCTGAGTGCTGTGCCTAATACTTGGGTTGTGAGCTCCTTGGGCAGGGACCCTCTTTTTGTTCTGTCTGTAGAGCTCCAGGCACAATGGAGACCTGGGGCAGGCTTGAGGCTCCTGGGCATTACAGTGATATACCTAATAAATAATATACAGCTCCTAGCACCGTGGGGCCCTGGAGCATGACTGAGACTCCGAGGTGCTACAGCAGTGTAAATCATTTCCCACTTGGGGAATAGCTAAACAAAATATTAATCTCCGTTCACCCATGCTGCTGCAGTGCCTCATGGGAGATGTAGTTTGGATGCCTCACACCCTCATTTGCTCCTGTGAGCTGGGCTCTCCAGCCGGATTACCCCTCCCATCATGCACCTTGGTCCCTGCTGAGCCAGTCTGGTGCATTGTGGGAGATGTAATCCAGCTGGGGAGCCCAACTCGTACTGGAGAACAGAGGCATGAAGCACCACTGCACATGGGTTGATGTCGAAATAACCAGAAATGAAACGCTTAGTTATAATAATTTGTTTAAACTTTCTGTTCTGTTCAAAACAATTGATATTTTGATTTATTTTGTCCTGTTTCAAGACAGAACCAAAAGTCAGCATGTCAGAATTTCCTGTGGGATGGAAATCCTGATTTTGGATCTGCTGTAGTGACAGGTGAATGTGTCCCCTTCGTTTTTTGGAGGCTTTACTTGAGAGTATTTTTAAAGGCCCTAATTACCAGGTAGTGCTGAGAGCCTGCACCCCAGCAACCAGACCCCTGTAAGGTATCACCAGCTGGGACCTAAAATCCCTAACTAATTTAGGGTATTAACATGTGAAGGCCAAAACTATAACAGGGTTCAAAAAAGAACTAGGTAAGTTCATGGAGGCTAGGTCCATCAACGGCTATTAGCCAGGATGGGCAGGGATGGTGTCCCTAGCCTCTGTTTGCCAGAAGCTGGGAATGGGTGATGGGATGGATCACTTGGTTCCCTGTTCTGTTCATTTCCCTCTGGGGCACCTGGAATTGGCCACTGTCGGAAGACAGGATACTGGGCTAGATGGACCTTTGGTCTGACCCAGTAGGGCCGTTCTTATGTTAAGATCTTGGCCCTTGGCTCTGACAGCTGTGACCCACCTCTGCTGAGGAGCGTTTGAGACACGGAGCAGATGCAGATCACTTCATGGCCTCTGTTTCTTTCACCCGTCATGATGGGTCTACGAAGGGTTATGGCTGATGCTTGTCACACAGCCCAGGAGACACTGAAACTGACTTACAAATCCGAATTCACAGATTCTCCTGAGAACCTGCATGGGTATAAAATCACCATCGGCATTTTGGGGGTCTGGAGCGTTGTGGCGACGCTGGCTGTGATCGCGCTGAGCATTCTGGGTGAGCGTCTAGATCCTGTTTGTTTTGAGGACACCCTGCAAACTTTCCCATGTCTCAGCAGCTCATCCCAGAGGCTTTTCATAGATTCCAAGGCCAAAAGGGACCATTATCACAATCTAGTCTGAGCTCCTGGATAACACAGGCCAGAGACCTGCCCCCATCATAATTCCTAGAGCAGGTCTCTTAGAAAAAAATCCAATCTTGATTTTTAAAGTTGTCCGTGATGGAGAATCCACCACGCCCCTGGGCAAATTGTTCCAGTGGTTAATTACCCTTGTTTGCATGCTGGCTGTACGGGGTACTGTCGTAATTCCTGTGCTACAGAAGGGCTAAGCTAAGGCCCATAGAGGGGTGGCCAAAGCATGAGTCAGCTACAACACCAGAGCACAAGAGTCCTGACACCCAACTTTCCCTGCTCTAACCACCCAACCCCAGAGCCAGGGATAGATTCCACCAGTCCCTGTCCTGGCCCCTCCCAATGAATTACTTTTCTCTCTCTTCTCCCCTTGATTTTTCCCATGATCCACATTCTTTGATGCTCATTTTCCACTCTGTTGTTGCCAGGCAAGAACTCTAACCCCAGGTCTCATGGCTGTTTTCAAGGGTCATCTCATGAAGGACTGACCGGAGCAGCGCCGAATGCCACCGTGAGCCGTAGTGCCCAGCGGAGAGAGAGAAACGGGGCAGAATGCAGCGCCCGTCTGAACCACCTCATGTCACGCCTGAGCCAGGCTCTGTGTGCTCCCATCAACAGCCGCCCCCAGGGTAACCCCAGCGCCTTCTCTCTGGGCTCTGGGATTGACAGCTCCGTTTAAAGGCCCCGGAGAGATGCTTCCAGAGCAGTGATTGAGTGACACCTAATGGCTGCCCTGTAGCTGAGTGCAGTGTTATAGCATTAGTGAAAGGGCAGGTGCCAATGGTGTATTATCCTGATCACGTGGAACAGGGTGTGCAAATGCTAATAGCTTCATTGCAGGCAATGAAAAGGTACTGGTCATCCCTGGCGTCATCTCACTGCCTTCAGTGGAGTTCTGCTAACACCCCAAGCTCCCGGCTGAGATCGGGGCCCTGTTATGCCGGGCGCTGCCCAGACACACAGCGAGAGACAGGCCCTGCCCCAGCTGAGATCAGGGCCCCGTTGGGCCGGGCGCTGCCCAGACACACAGCGAGAGACAGGCCCTGCCCCAAAGAGCTGGCAATCTACACAGATCAGGCACCCAGTGAAAGGGGGAACTGGGGCCCAGGGATGGGACATGACTTTCCTAAGGTCACCCAGGAACAGAACAAAGGTTTCCTGAGAGCCAGTCTGTCGTCCAAGCTGCTGCACCAGGCAGCCTCTTAATGGAAGCACCTAATTCAGCCGTTAATGGTGTCTCCTGTTTGTTTCCTCTAGAGGGCACTGGCTGCAAAATCTGTCCCCCGGACTGGCTGCCACATGGTGCCAAATGCTACTGGTTTTCTACCGAGAGTAAAATCTGGGCCAGGAGCCTTGAGGACTGCTCAGCGAGGAGCGCTCACATGGTGGTGATCCAGGAGCAGGATGAGATGGTAAAGTGAGAAACAGGCAGAGGGGTGGGGGTGTTAATCTTCACCTGGAAAGATGGGGGTGTCAAGGAATATCCATTTTAAGCTGATTTAAAAAATGATAAAATTACCCCAAGGCCACTTTTCACAGTTCCACTTTTCTTTTAAACAAAGACCATACTGTAACCAGCTTTGCCCTATTTGGGAATGTCCTCGCTCACTTGTCTGTCTTGCAGCTGTTCTGTTGGATCATGTCCCTAATTTGTTGCGGAGAAGCCAAATCGATGACTCTGCAAACACTTGTGCATACACTTAGTTTTATCATAGGACTAGTCCCCCCGAAATTCCTGTGCCAGTTTCTGTGGGTTTCCAATCACATTTTCCTATATATTTATTTAAAGTTTCTCTCTCCTGTTGCTGGGGAGAAAAAGCTCTAAACAGCCACAGGAAACAGAATAACTGAGATCTACAGGTTGATACAGTGAACCTGACTATACACCAAGTGCTGTCAAACGTAGGCCCCAACTCTGCTGGAGCACCCTCGGGGAAAAATTGGTGGGTGCTCTGCGCCCACTGGCAGCTCCCAGCTCACCTCAGCCTCTGCCCCTGAGTGAGCCGCCACGTCCTGCTTCTCCCCCTCCCTCCCAGCACTTGCGCCGCGAAACACCTGTTTCGCGTGGCAAGTCTGGAAGGGAGGGGGAGGAGGGGGAATGCAGCACGCTCGGGGGAGGAGGCGGGGCCGGGGCAGGGAGGGGCAGAGTTAGGGCAGGGTTGGAGTAGGGGCAGGGCCGGGGCGTGAACACCCACTGGCGCAGAAAAAAGTTGGTGTCCGTGCTGTCAAATGCCCAAAGGAGACGCACTGAAAAACCCCAAGCTTTGAGTTTGTCAGCTTAGGTGTGACTGAGCCCTGGAAAGAAGAGCAGATGAGCTGGGAACGGCACATTCAGGCTGCACCCAAATGAGATGCCACTTGTGACAGATTGTGCCAGGTGTGGCTTGCGAGGGCTCTGGACTCAGCTCCCCTGCAGCGGGTTGGATGTGCCCAGGGGCTGCATGGATTGGCCCTTTCTTGACTGGAAAGGGAGGAAACCCTCCAAGTGATCGTTTCCCACCCCTAGGGGCCACTGACATGAGCTGACTCAGAGTGGACTGTGTAGATCTTCATACTATGCTTGTCCCCTCTCCCTTCTTTGCTGCTTTGAGCAACGAAATAGTGACCAACTGCTGTCATGGAAAGTATCGTCCTTGGTATCTGTCAGTACCCATTGAGATGAATGGGGAAGGTCACATCCTCTCAGAGCTGTTTCAGACTCTCTGCAAACTCAGGCAGATATTGCTCTCTGGGTTCCGGCAGCTTTACGTTTTCAAGCCTTGGTCTGAAGTCATTACAACTAGAGATGTACTCCACTTTTTTAAGTGAAAGCTGAGACACTGGAGAACAAGAGGGCACTGCAGGAGAGGTGCCAGTGTGCCCATTTTAAGCTTTGAATAGTTGAAATGTTCAGACAGTACATGGGGGAGGGGCCCTCTGGAAAATACTATCTGAGAATTTAACCTGGTGCTCGGATAGCAATCTAACATCAGGTGCTAGCGTAACCTGCTGGCATTACGTGTCCTGCTCCGTGCTTCATCCACGGAGAATGTGAATCTGTTACAAATCCGCTTGCAAAGCAGCTTGGAGTCACAGCGGGTTCTCATCCCCCAAGTGCCTGTCTCCTACTTATAGAAGTTCCTAGGGGACAGCATTCAAGAGAAGTACCTCGTGTGGACTGGCCTCAGTGCGAACGCACCTGAGAGGAATTGGACCTGGGTGGATGGATCCTTGTTAAATCAGACGCTGTGAGTTGCTTTTCTGGATGGTTGCTGAGTTATGTAAGGGAGGGGGCGGGTGTCCCTTATTATCTGAGGCCAAGACTTTCAGAAGTGACGAGTGATTTTGGGTGCCCAGCTGAGGCAGCTTAAAAGGGCCCAGTTGCCGGTAGGTGCTGAGCACCCTCCCTCTGATAAACAGGGGTCTGATGTTGGGGCCCCAAAATCACTCAACCCGTTTTTGAAACTCTAGGGCACAATTTTCCAAAGCATTCAAGTGACTTGGGCACTTAGTGTCATTGACCATGAATGAGATGTAGGCTCCTAAATCACTTGGAAACCATTTGAAGAATCTACACTTTGGCCCTAACTCTTAGGAAGGTTGAGACGCAGCATCCCAAGGAAGAGCTTTGAGTGACCCCCCCCCCCACCCAGCCCCCATTCTCAGTCAGAAGAGATGCTGGAATGGGGAGATCCACCCCGTGAGGACGTCCCAGTGCTCCAGGAGGTTTGTCTTCGTGATTTCCAGATCCTTTGTGCTCCAGTTACAAGTAGCAACAAGGTTTCCCCAACACCAGTCTGGGTCTAGACACACAGAACAGCCCTGCTGTCGGTGACCTGCATTAACAAGATGCCATGAAGGTGACCAATTACTCTTCCGTTGGTCCGGCAGGTTCCCCGTGAAAGGATCTGCCGAAGAGAACAGCTGTGGGGTGATCAAAGGGAGTCAGATCCAGTCGGAAACCTGCAGCGGGGAATACAGATGGATTTGCCAGAAGGACGCCATCCCGATAGACAGCCGACCAAGCAATCTGTAGCGCCCTGCCAATTTGCAGATACCCATCCGCTTTATATCTATGGACCATTTTTGCAGCTCAGATGGGGCTACAAAATTTGTATCTGCGCAGGGCTGTGGTGGAGCCAGGAAGTAACCACCCCTGATTCTAATGCTCAGCGCTGAGATTTTTAAAGGAACCTTTGTTTTATTTTCTATGAAATGCTCGGCTGGAACATAGGATCCCAAACCTGCAAAGACTGACATGTGTGCTTCACTTTAATAACCTACATAGCCCTCTTTGCAGGATCCAGCAATGACTCGGGTCCAGACCCTCGAAGCTAGTTAGGTGCCTAGCTCCCAGTAGGAGGTAAGCACTTAAGCACCTCCTTGAAGATCTCTGTTTTTTGCCCCTGCTTCCAAGAGTTCAGAGTGTTTCAAGAACATCACACCTATTGCAAAGAGGCAGTGTGGCCTAGTGGCTAGAGTACTGGAGACCTGGGTTCTCTTCCTGGCTCAGCTAGTGTGACCATCTCTGTTTTGTCTCCCGGCCAGCAGCACAGCAGGGTTGAGGCTGGCTGCTGGCATGTCTCTGCGGAACCCTGGCTGTGGGAGGCTGGGGGAGGGAGGGAGGCGGCTCTGCGTGCTGCCCCCACCCCCAGCACCGTCCCCTCAGCTCATTGGCCAATGGGAGCTGTGTGGGGTGGTGCTTGCGGGCAAGGGCAGTGGACAGAGACACGCTGTCCCCCTCCCCCCAGGGGTGCACAGAGACGTGCCAGCAGCCGGACGCTTCTGGGAGCGGCATGGGGCCACGGCATGCAGGCAGCCTGCCTCAACCCTGCTGTGCCGCCGGCTGGAAGCCGCCTGCGGTAAGCACCTCCTGGCCAGAGCCTGCACCTCGCACCCCTTCCTCCACCCTAACCCCCCTCCCCCAGCTCAGAATCCTCTCCTGCACCCCAAACTCCCTCCCAGATCCCGCATCCCTCCCCTGCTCCTACACCCCTACCCCAGGTCAGAATCCCCTCCTGCACCCCAAACTCCCTCCTAGATCCCCATCCCTCCCCTGCTCCTGCACCCCAAACTCCCTCCCAGATCCCGCATCCCTCCCCTGCTCCTCCACCCCTACCCCAGGTCAGAATCCCCTCCTGCACCCCAAACTCCCTCCCAGATCCCGCATCCCTCCCCTGCTCCTGCACCCCAAACTCCCTCCCAGATCCCGCATCCCTCCCCTGCTCCTCCACCCCTACCCCAGGTCAGAATCCCCTCCTGTACCCCAAACTCCCTCCCAGATCCCGCATCCCTCCCCTGCTCCTCCACCCCTACCCCAGGTCAGAATCCCCCTGCACCCCAAACTCCCTCCCAGATCCCGCATCCCTCCCCTGCTCCTGCACCCCAAACTCCCTCCCAGATCCCGTATCCCTCCCCTGCTCCTCCACCCCTACCCCAGGTCAGAATCCCCTCCTGCACCCCAAACTCCCTCCCAGATCCCATCCCTCCCCTGCTCCTCCACCCCTACCCCAGGTCAGAATCCCCTCCTGCACCCCAAACTCCCTCCCAGATCCCGCATCCCTCCCCTGCTCCTACACCCCTACCCAGGTGGGAATCCCCCCCTGCACCCCAAACTCCCTCCCAGATCCCGCATCCCTCCCCTGCTCCTCCACCCCTACCCAGGTGGGAATCCCCCCCTGCACCCCAAACTCCCTCCCAGAAAGAGCCTAATGTAACAGCTGTTCTAAGGTAAGAAGTAGGCTATTTTGAATTAAGACTGAAATATAACCCCCGAACTGCTTTATGTTAACTAACGCTATGCTCAACTTGCCCTTTAATAGCCTTGATGCCACAATTGTGATCATTTTGTTTTAAATTGGGGAAAAGACTTGCTGTCAGGGGCCCCTACAAAATCTAACAGCCCCGGGCCCCCAGGCAAGTTAATCCCGGGGGACGCGAGGGGCCAGGCGGACCCGGGCTGGGGGGGGGTGGTCCTGGGGGAGCAGCCGGGCCAGAGACCCCGGGGCTGAGGCTCCCGCCGCCCGGGGACACGAGAGTTCGCCTGAGAAGCCGCCGCCGCTCCCGGGAGGGGCGGGTGTGAGAGGCGCCGGCTCGGGGAGGGGCCGGAGGGAATCAGGCTGATCCCGGCACCTGCCCTGACCGAAGCTGAAGAAGGCGGAAGCGCCCCCAGGGCAGGCTGGGAGATGTAGTTCCTGTCTCTTCCGCGAGCGGAAGTGACGTCGGACCGGGGAGGACAAGCCGGGCTCGAGCGGGGACGCTGGCGCCTCGCCCAAGGCGGAGAAGCGTTTGGTGCCGCTCGAGCTCTGGGCATGCGCACATGGAGGCGGGGCGGGGCGGAAGTCGCGCGTGCGCAGAGGCAGAGCTCACCGGCTGCTGCGGGGCCGGGCTGAGCGGCAGGGTCTGTGCCGGGGCGACCTTCATTAACCCCCCCGCGCCCGGCCCGCGCCCTGCTCCCGCTGGGGCCGCCCCGGGCCCTGCCCGCCCCGCTGCCGAGCTGCCGCCTCCAGGTACCGGAGCGAGCCCCGGGGGCGGGGCGGTGACGCTGCCCCAGTGTCCGCGGGGACCCGGCCTCGGGCGGCGCCGGGACCTGCTCCCGGGGGGGCCGCGCCCGGGGGGGCTCGGAGCTGCTGTCCCAGCGGGAGCCCAGCGCCCCCCGGCGGGGTCTGGACGGGGCAGCGGGTGAAGGGGCGAGGCTGGGAGACCCCGACCCCGCGGGGCCGGGCTGGGGGGCCGCTCTCTGCCGGCAACAGGGCCCGGGCAGGCCCGGGAGGGGACGGGGGCAGCGAGCGGCCCCCCCCGGCGGCGGCCCGGCCCCAGGCTGCGGCCAGGAGCTCGTTCCTCCGCGGGGCCGCGTCCTGCCGCACCTGGGAGACGCCTCGGGGCTGCCCAGCCCCAGGGGAGCCGCAGCCAGGCCCTGCCCCGCGCCGCCGGGACCGGGGGGGCTCCTGGGGGGGGGTCCGGGGGGGGGTTGAACGGTCCCTGAGCAGCCTCAGGAAACCCCCGGGGGAGAAGGGGGGGCGGGAGGTGAGTGAATTGGATCCTTTCCCTGCTGGTGCCTCTCACACCCTGATACAAATTCTCTCCAGTTCTTCCCCGTTTCTCTCTCATTATCTCACACGTGGCTATAAAATCCGGGGTGATTCCCCCCCACACACTTTCCCCTCAAATTATTGGGGCCCCAGGGCATGGCCACTAGTTAAGTCAAGGGGATGGAAGACCATGAGGGTGGAGGAAGTCTCTTTGCTCTAGGCCCAGGGGCTTCTTTTCAACCCCCCCTTAACGGCACTTAGGCCAGACTGGCCTGGGAAAAAAAGCCCTTTTGCTCTTAAAACAATGTTGCAGCTGCAGATAGCGCTGTCTAGTGTAGGGTTTTGCTGATGCCAAGCTAAGATAACAAAAGGAGGCAGCTTCAAGGCTATAGCCGCCCATCTACACCATTAATCACAAGGCCAGGCAGGATGTGCTGGTTGTTTAAGTTGCGAGGAATGCTTGTTAGAGGTTGCAGGAAATAAACATTGTTGTAACCCATATAAGGAAGGCAAAGTATATGTGCAAAGCTTTGATTGGCTGATGTGTAGTGTAATAGCCTTAAACAATATAAAAGTATGTGTGATGACCTGGTCTGGTGTGCAGGATTTGAGATTCTCTCCCTGTACCTGGATTTGGAGCTCCAAATAAACTTTTCTACTTCTCCACCCTGTTGTGATTATTGGGTGACGCATACCGGGCAACAAACCCCTGCTGTTGCTTGCCTCAGGCACTCTGTGCCAGCAACAAAATGATCAGCTCTCTCCCGATTTCCCCCTGTTCTCGCCATAATTCTCAAATGTCCATTTAAAATCTCCTCCGATGTGGGGGATTTTCTCACCTATTTTACCTGCAGCGATTTGTCCTTGTTTAGGTGAGAAATTGTTCCCTGAGTCGGTCCCCAAAACATGGCTGCCCCTGGAGTGGGGATGGGATGAGATGCCTCTTCTCTGCCAGGGTGGGGGAAGGGAGGAGGAAGTGTACCCCATGGAGACTGCCCAGACCCCGGTTTCCCAATCCCACTTGCTGGCCCCAAACTGCCAACACAGTTGCCCCCAGCTATCCATTGACACTCACCTGACCATCCCCCACTGCTGTCCCCTTCCCTCACCCAGGAAGCCTTCCAGCTCCTCCTCCTCCTTGGCCCTCTTAAATCACCTCCTCAAAGGGCTCCTTGCTGCCCGTGTGAATGGAGGCAGACGGGGAACCATCACTTTCTGTTTATGTATTGCACAGTATATAAAATCCAGTCAAACAGGCCCCCTTTTCCAACTAGTTATTTCATAGCAATATAAAATTTCCTCTGATCTTGGTGTTTTTCTCTCATGTTATCAATTACTTAGTTTGTGACATGTATTCTTTGCAAATCTCAAAGATTGTTATGAAATAACCTAAACATTTGCCCCACTTTTTCTCTAGTTGTCCATTTCTAATTGAATATGCTCTGAGATTTTCCCTGTCTCTCTAATTATAAAATACTAAGAAAATCTCAGATTTACACTTTTTCCTCAGATTCTTCAACATGGAAATAAAATGTTTGCAAATGTTCCCCATTTTCTCTCTTCATTTTTCAAATATTGATGTGAAATACACTCAGATTTTACCTCCTATCAACAACTGATATAAAATCCCTCTGATTTTCCACTTTCCTCTCTCTGATTTGCAAAATGGCAAAACGGGAGGAGGTGGGTCCCAGGCAAAGGGCATGGCAGAGGCTCTGGGGGCTGCTATTAAATTTGTGCCCCAAGTCCTTCTCCTAGATCTGGGGGGTGAGGGAGGTGGGAAGGGGGTTAGCACTGCCACACAATGACCTCTTCCACGGCATTCTGGACTCATCCTTTCTGAAATCTGGTTTCATTGAGACCATTGTTAATCCAGAGTCACTGTATGCAAAGACAAGGAGTGACTCCAGATGAACAGTGGGGCAAATGAGATTAGCAAGTCTCCCTGTGAGGAGGTGCTCTCATTAGTTGCTCTCCCCAGAGAGCTAAAGGAGGGAAGGCTGCTCAAAGGCTCTGTCCCTCTCTCCTAAGGATATTGGGGTTCAGCTTCCTGGGTCAGATGCTGCAGCCTAAATGGTGATCCGGGAGACCAGCTTGCTGCTACCCTAGCAGGGCTTCTGTGCTGGGAAGTGACCTTAATTAAAGCTTTTTCTCTGCCAGGCCCAGGTGCTGACTTTCTCCAGCTGGTACTAGCCCCTTGGGGCAGACCTGGGCTCTGTTAATACAAATTCTGAGGCACAAACTTCAGGTAACTGAAAGACCTCAGGGAAAGTGCTGGGGACTGGCAAGAAAGTGACTCTGCACAAACAGCCCCTCCTCATTTCTCCTCCCATTAGCAATTGCCAGGAGAAAATCCAGTGGTGGGGTTGCAAAGAACCCAGGAATGGGACTTTCCGAGCCAGAGAGGCAGGGAGAGAGGACAGCGGAAGGAGAGACTGAAAGGGGCAGTGGTAGAAATGAGTGGGAAGAGAGATTTCCAACTCTAGTTCACCCAGACACATGTGAGAAAACCTGGATTTGTGCTGGAAATGGCCCACCTTGATTGTCATGCACATTGTAGGGAGAGTGGTCACTTTGGATGAGCTATTACCAGCAGGATAGTGAGTTTGTGTGTGTGTTGTTTTGGAGGGGGGTGAGGGGGTGAGAGAACCTGGATTTGTGCAGGAAATGGCCCAACTTGATTATCATGCACATTGTGTAGAGAGTTGTCACTTTGGATGGGCTATTACCAGCAGGAGAGTGAGTTTGTGTGTGGGGGGGTGGAGGGTGAGAAAACCTGGATTTGTGCTGGAAATGGCCCAACTTGATGATCACTTTAGATAAGCTATTACTAGCAGGACAGTGGGGTGGGAGGAAGTATTGTTTCATGTTCTCTGTGTGTATATAAAGTCTGCTGCAGTTTCCACGGTATGCATCTGATGAAGTGAGCTGTAGCTCACGAAAGCTCATGCTCAAATAAATCGGTTAGTCTCTAAGGTGCCACAAGTACTCCTTTTCTTTTTGCGAATACAGACTAACACGGCTGTTACTCTGAAACCAGACACATGTGTTGCGGCATCCCTGGGCAGAATCACTTTCCAGTGAACAAGAAAAGGATCAGACAGTGGAAAAGTCAGTTTCTGACTCCATATTCTCCCTGCTCGGTGTGGCTGCCATGGGGTCCATGTCCGAGGGAATCCCCCAGAGTGACTCCTTTGGTTCTGCTCTTTTCTAGCATTGTGTTGAGAGACTTTGTTACGGGGTGGGGGGAGGGAGAAGGGAGGTTAAAAATGTCTCTGTGGGCTTAGCCTGGCAGGAGGGGCCAGGTCTACACTGAAATAAAGAGATCAAGCATTTTTCCAGCACGGCAGAATCTAGGATATCTGTCTGCAGGGAAAGGGCCCTGGGGGAATTCTGTTGTGAAATTAACTAAAGCCTGTTCTGAAACCCCCACAATTACGCTTCTCGCCCTCCCAGGCTGCAGAACGACGTCCATGTTTCACTCCAGCTCCTCCCATCCTCCCATGGGACCGGGAAGAGAAATGGCTGCAGTGGAGCCAGCTCAGGTAGGGATTATTGGGGAGTTTTGGGTGGGTTCCTTCTGGAGGGAGGGGGACAGCAAATACACCAGAGACGGGAAGGTTTGCGCAGTCTGGTTTGGAGGTTGGTGCGGGGCAGGAAATCCACAAGGTGGAGAAAGGGAGGAGGACAGGGGGTGGCAAACCTGCTGGGAGTTATTGAATATCTGGCCTCGATTCTGGGACCAGACCCATGAGGTTGGGAGGTGGAAATGCTCTAATTTGTTGATCAGAAAATAACCCACCTACATGGGGCTAGGAAACCTAACCAGACTCATAGTGCGGGAGCCTGACCCGACTAACCAGCGGGTGCCGTGAGATATGAAGGGGGCACCCACCAGTCAGGCTTAGGGGAGATTCCCCTCCCTTCATATCCAGCTCCTCGCATTGAGGAGCGTGTTGGACTTCCTACCAGGGAGCTCTCCCTGGATCCTGCTGGGGGCTCCATCTCCTGTATCAGTCTGTGGCTAGTAGGTGTGTGATGGATCTGGTGGGAGAGAGGTGGGGCTCTGTCTTCGTCCCCTCACCCTGGTGGTTCCAGGATGCTCTGAGCGAGGTGGGGGTGGGAGTCTGACCGTGATCCACCCAGAGCTTCCATTTGATTGGCTCCTCTCCCACACAAAGAGAGGGGCAGCAGCTACTGAGTGTTGGACTTTTGCTCTCTCAGGGGCCGGTGACCTTCGCGGAGGTGGCTGTGTATTTCACCAGGGAAGAGTGGGCTCTGCTGCACCCTGCTCAGAGAGCTCTCTACAGAGATGTCATGAAGGAGAACTATAAGAATGTGACCTTGCTGGGTAAGGATTCCCATCCCCTCATTTCTTGGAAGGGGAAATGAAGAGGTACGGTTCACGCCACCCCCCAATGGCATCTCTGCTCTGTCCTGTTTCAGCATCACCCCAATATGCCAGTAACACACACACACACACGACCAGAGACCTTCCCCTGCTGAAGAACACTTTGGGAACAGAGCACAGGAGCAGTATCGCACAGTGTCAGATATCTCTTTTTGCTCAAGTAAAACTGGGGCTTAGGTCCAGCATAACCAACAGAAGCTTCCTACCCCCGGCCTTCTAGGAAACCCTGAGCCACCTCCACCCGAACCAGAATGTGCTTGGGGTGTAACAAGCAGGCTGCTGGAGTCAGAACTGCTGGTCCAGGGCTACTTATCACACAGACACCCAGTGCGTCCTTGAATGCTGGCTGGGGGTATCCACACAGGGGAGCTCCAACAGCAGAACATTGAATCTCACCCAGGATTACAGATGACACAAGTCCTCACTGGTCTGAATTGCACTGCAGCATGTGAAAATGGCTTATGTTGGTAGTGAAACTTCCTGAGACATGGAGAGTCTTGCTTCTCCATCCGCACGTGTAATAGCTACAACCCCTCTTCCCTGCAGGCTCTTTGGATTTTTGATTACCTCATTGTCACATGACCCCGATTCTTATTTTTCACATTCTGCTTTTCTAGACTAATTAGCATCTGTTGCTCCTGAATTATAGCTTCTAATTTCCCAGTGTTCTCCACACCCAGGGATTTTCCTACTCCCTCCCGTTACACTGGGCTCACTAGATTCCCTAGTACATAAGAGCGGCCACGCTGGGTCAGACCAAAGGTCCATGTAGCTCAGTGTCCTGTCCTTCGAGAGTGGCCATGATTTTATCAACCTCTCTCATATCCCCCTTTCGTCTCTTTTCTAAGCTGAAAAGGCCCAGTCTTTTTCATCTCTCCTCATACAGAAGCTCTTCCATACCCCTAATCATATTTTTGCCCTTTTTTGAACCTCTTCCAATTCCAGTATATATTTTCTGAGATGTGGCAACCACATTTGCATGCAGTATTCAAGATGTGGGCGCACTATGGATTTATAGAGAAGCAATATGATATTTTCTGTCTTCTCATCTATCCCTGTCTTAGTGATTCCCAATGTTCTGTTTGCTTTTTGACTGCCTGTGCACCTTGAGTGAACGTTTTCAGAGAACTCTCCACAAGGACTCCAAGATCCCACTCTTGAGTGGAAACAGCTAATTTAGACCCTATCATTTTCTATGTATTGTTGGGATTATGTTTTCCAATGGGCTGCAATACGTGCTATCCTGACATCTAGTACTGCTGAGCTCCTGCATTCAGTAATATCCCTGCCCTTCCTGTTCCCTTTCTCCACTGAACCCCACCAGGCCATGCTTACTGTTCCCGGCTTCCCCAGGACTGACTCATTGTCTCTGGACTTCTCTGTCAGCAAGAAGCAATTCCAGGGAGACTTGCCCTCTGTCTGGAGTCTTTGATTTCTGGGACAAGGATTTACTTTCTCTGTGTTTTTAGGAGACTCTTTGAAATTGAGTGTCTGTGACATTAACCACAGTACAATCTGAACTATTGAATAGCTGTTTCCCCTCAGTTCCCCAACCTGCGGTGCCTTTTACACTGCTTTACTGTGAGAACAGTCACTCCTGGGCGGTTAACACACAGTCTCCAGCACGTAACTCGCTCCCAGCTTCACAGTATTGACTGCTGTTAGTCAGTGATTCTCAAATTCCAGTACACCACAGGAGAACGTCAGAAAATTCTCTGGTCCCAGACTTTCCCCCAGAAATGTGCATCTTGCATTGTCCAGCACGCTGCTGAACAATGCAAACTCATACGAAGTCTGTCATTTCATCAGTGGAAAATGACATGCACCAGCCTTGTTATTCCAAATGGAGTTTCCAACACACTTTAATCCAAACACATTGGTTACATAAAACAATAAAACGAAATTGTTCAGTACCGAAAAAAAGATTTTAAGTGACTTTAAGTGATTTTAAGAGGTAATGAGGCATAAAAGTCAGAATTGTTTACAAAAGAAATGCAAGATAAAACACAAACTAACATCTAACTTAACAAGCTAAAACGGATTCAAAGCAAATGTTTCTCGCACCATATGCCAAGACAGGCTGGTGGCTGTCCTTTCAGCCAGGACTCCCCTAACCCGCCTCTGCCGCCCAAGTTCAGTTCTTCAGGAGTTGTCATGAACAGAGGGAAAGGGGGGGGGGAGAGAGATAGTCTCAAGCATTTTCCTCACCTCTTTTTATAGTTCAGTCCTTTGTACTAAAAACAACTTCAGTTCTCAGCTGAGTGATGGTGACAGGCTGATGTAGGGTATATTTGTATTTCCAGACTTGTGTAGTGTTTCTGGGTGACACCCCCCCAGATATATTGGCGTCAGCACTGCCTAGCCTGTTCGATGGCCCATCCAGGGTCATCAGCTGTACAATGAGCCCATGGAAAGGACCAAGGGGATACACCAATTGAGTCAGCAAGACATGCAGGGGTGCGCCTGTGTACTAAGAACTCCAAGGCTTTTCCATGCCATGTGCTGTGAAACTTGTGTTTGGGGCACAGGAAGTATAAGCCACATGGCAAAAGGCATATAAAGGGTAGCTGCATCGTCTCCATTTTGTCTTCAATCCCTCTTCCCACCTCTGGAGCAACTTCTCTACAAACTGAAGCCTTGAACAAAGGACTGAATGACCCATCCAAGCTGTGGATGTGTTCCAGATGGACTCTCAAGCCACTAACTCACCAGTACTGCTAAGAATCTGATATATAGATTTCAGAATGTACCTGACTGCTTCCCCCATTTAATTTCTCTCTGTCTTTCTTTTGTTTAAATCTTTAGTTTAGATGCTAAAGGATTGGCTGGCTGCATGGTATTTTGGGTAAGATCCAAACCTATCGTGACCTGGTACTGGTGCTAACCCTTTGGGATCAGAAGAACATTTTGTTTGTGAGCAGAGTTTTTAAATAACCTCTCACTGTAGTGGACCTAGGTGCTGACTGGGAGTCAGAGAACTGGAATGCAATAAAGGGAGCTGTGGGATTTCTTTTTTCAGCTTCTCGGTAACCAGTGTGGGTGAGGAGAAGCAGTTTGTGACTGGTCGGTGAGTTTATCTTCAGTGTTAACCACCAGTTTGGGGAGGATATGCTATCCCTTTTGCAGCCTGCCCTGACCTTTGCATTTTCAGTGAGGGACTGCCCCAGGCACACCAGGTCACACTAAGCACTGAAGTTAAATTAATAGAATGTTTGGTTTTTTATGATAAAGTCTTATGACATCAACTGAAGTCCTTTGTTTTCTTTCATCTTAGCAGGGTTTCCAGTTTCCAAACCTGATGTGATCTCCCAGCTGGAACAAGGGGAAGAGCCATGGGTCCCAGAGGGAAGAGAGATCCTGAGAGCTCCCTGCACAGGTGAGGAAACATTAAACCAACTCAGAATCTATAAGTGCCTGAAGGAATCATCTGGGATGCCCTACAAAGTCTTGGGAGGTCTCTCAATTCATTATTGTCTTTAGTAGGGGTTGTATCCTCAGGGTAAATATAGCTCATGGCTTCCTATAGATCCTAGCAGACACCAGGCAGAAGTTTCCTCCCTTCCCCCTGTGAATTTGGATGGGATGTGAAGGCTGAATTGATCCCCCTCCTCTCTCCTATTTGGTGGAAGAGTTTGGGGGAGTTCAGTACCTGATTTTTATTTGATCCCTCTCCAGCACTTGTTTTCTTTTGGTGTTCCCCTTTCCATCTCTGTTTGCAGTTTCTATCTCTATCACAGCAGGTGATGCAATGCTCTGTGAGAAGGAGGAGCAGAATTCTCAGCAGGAAAATGTTGAGCAAGTAGATAAACACAGAGAATTATCGCAAAGATGGAAAAGGAATGTGTCCAGGAGTCATGAGCAGGGAAAATCCTTTGCGATTCATCACAGACCAGAAAGAGAGCAGGGAAACCAGCCATTGGAGAAAATGGGTAAATTTATTTCCTGTCGAGGAACTCAGCAGGGCCTCAAGAAAACCACATCCCAGCAGGAAATCCTCAGCAGAAAGAGGAAAAATACATGCAGTGAGTGTGGGAAAAGCTTCAGTAAAAGATCAGCCCTTTTTCAGCATCAGAGAATCCACACGGGGGAGAAGCCCTATGAATGCAGTGAGTGTGGGAAAAGCTTCATTCAAAGATCAGGCCTTTTTCAGCATCATAGAGTCCACACAGGGGAGAGGCCCTATGAATGCCGTGAGTGTGGAAAATGCTTTAACAGGAGCTCAGACCTTTCTATACATCAGAGAATCCACACAGGGGAGAGGCCCTATGAATGCCATGAGTGTGGGAAAACCTTCCTTTGGAACTCAGCCCTTTCTAATCATCAGAGAATCCACACAGGGGAGAGGCCCTATGAATGCAGTGAGTGTGGGAAAAGCTTCATTCAAAGATCACACCTTTTTCACCATCAGAGAATCCACACAGGGGAGAGGCCCTATGAATGCAGTGAGTGTGGGAAAAGCTTCACTGAAAGATCAGCCCTTTTTGAGCACCAGAGAATCCACACAGGGGAGAGGCCCTACAAATGCAGTGAGTGTGGGAAAAGCTTCAGTCAAAGATTAGGCCTTTTTCAGCATCAAAGAATCCACACAGGGGAGAGGCCCTATGAATGCAGTGAGTGTGGGAAAACCTTCATTAGGAGCTCAGCCCTTTCTAATCATCAGAGAATCCACACAGGGGAGAGGCCCTACGAATGCAGTGAATGTGGGAAAAGCTTCATTCGAACAACAGACCTTTTTCACCATCAGAGAATCCACACGGGGGAGAGGCCCTATGAATGCAATGAGTGTGGGAAAAGCTTCATTAGGAGCTCAGCCCTTTCTAATCATCAGAGAATCCACACAGGGGAGAGGCCCTACGAATGCAGTGAATGTGGGAAAAGCTTCATTCGAACAGCAGACCTTTTTCAGCATCAGAGAATCCACACTGGGGAGAGGCCCTACAAATGCAGTGAGTGTAGGAAAACCTTCACTAGGAGCTCATCCCTTTATAAACATCAGAGAATCCACACAGGGGAAAATCCCTGTCATAAATATAAAGGGCAGGGTAAACACCTTTAAAATCCCTCCTGGCCAGAGGAAAAACCCTTTCACCTGTAAAGGGTTAAGAAGCTAGGATAACCTCGCTGGCACCTGACCAAAATGACCAATGAGGAGACAAGATACTTTCAAAGCTGGAGGGGGGAGAAACAAAGGCTCTCTCTGTGTGATGCTTTTGCCGGGAACAGAAAAGGAATGGAGTCTTTGAACTTAGTAAGTAAGCTAACTAGATATGCGTTAGATTCTGTTTTGTTGAAATGGCTGATAAAATAAGCTGTGCTGAATGGAATGTAGATTCCTGTTTTTGTGTCTTTTTGTAACTTAAGGTTTTGCGTAGAGGGATTCTCTATGTTTTGAATCTGATTACCCTGTAAGGTATTTACCATCCTGATTTTACAGAGGTGATTCTTTTACTTTTTTCCTTCAATTAAAATTCTTCTTTTAAGAACCTGCTTGCTTTTTCATTGTTCTCAAGATCCAAGGGTTTGGGTCTGTGTTCACCTATGCAAATTGGTGAGGATTTTTATCAAGCCTTCCCCAGGAAAGGGGGGGTAGGGTTTGGGGAGGATTTTGGGGGGAAAGATGTTTCCAAGCAGGCTCTTTCCCTGTATATATTTGTTAGACACTTGGTGGTGACAGCAATAAAGTCCAAGGGCAAAGGTAAACTAGTTTGTACCTTGGGGAAGTTTTAACCTAAGCTGGTAAAAATAAGTTTTGGGGGTTTTCATGCAGGTCCCCACATCTGTACCCTAGAGTTCAGAGTGGGGAAGGAACCTTGACAGGCCCTAGGAATGCCGTGAGTGTGGGAAAAGCTTGACTCAAAGATCAGAACTTTCTAATCATCAGAGAATTCACACAGGGGAAAGGCCCTACAAATGCAGTGAGTGTGGGAAAACCTTCTCTAGCAGCTCAGCCCTTTCTAGTCATCAGATAATTCACACAAAGGAGAGGCCCTACGAATGCAGTGAGTGTGGGAATACCTTCTCTTGGCACTCAGTCCATGTTAGCCATCAGAGAATCTGCAAGGGAGCTCAACACCATAAAAACCTCTAGGGCTATCAATACTTTACTTTTCCTGATTCCTACACAGTAACTTTGAATGCTGTTTGAACTGTTTGCAGCACCGTTATCCATTAGCTTGTCCAGATGAGTGCTCCATTTTTGCCTTTTGCAGTTCGCCCTCTTGAGGTGGACCTATTTGTCCTTTCTATTTTCCCATGAGTAATTTGAGTGTGCGCTTCCTATCAGGAACCAGGGAGCATCACATTTATACCATTCCTCCTATTGCAAAGTTATTGTTAGTCACCAATGATACAGATTGTATCATTGCCAGTTGTTCTCATGTTGCTCTGGGTTTTGCTAAAGAGCAGTTATATTTGCAACTTTTCAAATGATATGTAAATGAAGAGAAGCAGGGGCTTGAAAAAAAAAGTGTAATTTCAGCCTCTGTGACACTGGAAGGAGACGGGGGTGACACTGAGATTTCCTCCTTCCCCATCACTGCAGAACTGTTAGCTTTTGTCTGAGCCATGTAGAGTTTATCTCTGTAACATTCTATCCATCTACTTGGCAAAGTGTCATGTGATGAAGCATTCTCCGTTGTGTGTGCTTGGAGATCATGCTTTGACTTCTTTAATCCTATATCAGAGTTGCTATGACTGGAGATGAAAGTGTCAAAGACCTGGGAAGGAAATTCAAATAGATCCCAAATACAGTGTAATCATTTGGAGTTTAAATCCAAGGTTCCATCAATTGGCAAATCCACTTCTGGCAAAGTGGCTGTGTCTCCCCTCCCTCCCTCCCTCCCTCCCTCCCCCCATTATTTAGATCCTAGTATACTGAAAATGTTGAAAATAACATAACTGACTCTTGGGACAGCACTGAGTGAAGTATGTTTGAATGGATCAGAGGAGAATGTGATGGGAGAATCTCTTGTCCTGATTCTGAATAATCAGATGTCAGCTCTCTGGAATTTCACTTGACACTTTCACTGTCATGTATTCTCTCTCTGTGATGTGGTTTCTATCTGTCCTGAGGGCTGTTTGCTCACCCAATTGGATATTAGTTCAGTTTGATATGATGGAGCTCAGATCTATTGGAGAATTTCAGACAAATGACCATTTGCTAAAGTGGTCATTCCTCACTTCAGCTTTGCTTTTTCCCCATCCCTCCATGATGACATGGAGAAAGTTCAAGTGCAGTTCTGTCAACATGAGAGAACTCTCCAATTTACAGGACATGCTAACAAAGAAACAGCAGTGATTTTAAAATCTCCACTCGGAAATAGCGAACAACAGCAGAACCTCATCTAACTGAAGGAAGTACATATGATCACAGTGTAGTTCAATTGTTGAAGTCAATATTGTCTCAGATGATCTGGGGAGAGAATTCCACCATAAGTGATTTTGAACGAGGCAAAATGCCCATGTATTTTGTTCCCAAATCATGTGTAACCCAGGCCATACAAAAGACCTCTCCTAGTTAATCCTATGTGATGAGGAATCCTGCCCTTCGTGACACAGATGGTGAGGAAATAGAAGTGGGTTTTTTGTTGAATTTATCCTTTGTATGTGCTAAAATGTGTATAAAATCAGTGTTGGCAATCTAATAGCAGCAGAAAAATAGCTATTTTTGAATAGAATCTCCATGTCTGGTAACTAACGGAGATTATGATCCAGCCCTGTATCCAGTCCCTTGCCTGAAACTGTGCCACCAAATTTAAGAAAAGCTGGGCATGTTTTGGGGAGCCATTCCTCACTAACACTGTTGATATTTTGAGTGGTTTTGTAAAGGATTCTACTTCAGAGAAGTGTAAATTTACCCTAACTAAGGCCAAGGATTTGGAAAGAACTGGGGTGAAAGGAGTACACACTGAGTTCTTGGTTTCTACTCCAGTAAAGGAAGCTATGGTGGCCAGGAAAATTGTTTGTACAAGCCCACTTACTCGTTTAGTGTCACTGATTACTGTAGCCAGACAGCCAGCCCCCCCCTCTCAGACCAGCATTGCTGGAAACACAGGAGGAAGCCGGAACAGGGCACTTAACATATATTCCAGCACAGCCTTTGAAGCTGTGAAAAGCACAGGTGTGCTGCTACAATGTGCCTCTGGGAACATATACAATGATTAAGCTCACAGCAGGCAGAGGCCCTGTGACAGACATGGCTCTTAGCCCCTACTAAATAGCGTGATGCACACACACCAACATCCTAGGTGGGAAAATATTTACCCTGATAAAAGAAATGTCCAGTAGTCGAAACTTATTGTTTCTCTCCCTTGCAAGTGTAAACTACTCTTGCGAAAGCTGGCGTCACCCAGACAGACCAGCCTCAATTTGGCATAAGAAAGGAGAAAGAGAATAAAGGAGTACAGAGGTATAAGTAGGGGACCTACAGCACCATGATTTTTGAGTGCTTTTCACTATCTATCTGCTGGTCAGATAAGTGACAGCCTCCCAAGGCTTCTGCAGCTAAGAGGGTCCCTACGCCTTGTCCCTTATTCGTCTTTCCGCGGAATTGAGTGACCGATCCTGGCTTGGCACTGCTGGAATCGAGAGATGCAA